CGTATATTTTTATCCACTGCTTCATATAAACGAGCAAAAAAGAATCTTTGTTGCACCTTATCGAGAAACTTGGGTCCGGTTTAGTTATTTTTACAATGATTTTCGGTTGTTGTCTCCAAACGCATAACCCGAATCCAAAAACTTTAACATACACGTGTAATCAAAGGATTAAAATTTTATTTAAAATAAATGTTTAAAATTTCCCGACCACTAGCTTATTGATAAATTCGGTTTGCACTATGCACTTTTTTGCAAATTTGGCCGTGGGTTCCGCGCAAAAATACTGTGGATGCACAAGGAGTGTTGTATACCTTTGACATGCGGAAGCCCCTCTTCTCCGCCAACACAGAAAGGAGAATTCTACTTAGTAAGGGTTATAATCAGAAGCAAATGCAACAGGTGGTGGACCTAACAAGGTGCATGTCTTCAATGGCTTGGAAGAAGCTGTTATTGCACTAACGGGATTGAGAACCAGTTCTGCAGGCATAGGAGGAGTTCTGGCTTGTGGTTCAACAATTCAACCAGAAGCTGACATAGATGCGCCCATGGTTACTATGCCCGACAGCTCCGCATACCTCTGTGAATCCATTGCCATAGTGCCCGCTTACTCTGCTGCTATAATTTCAAATACATCAGAATCTATAATTTTCCTCAAACTATGTAAAATTAACCAATTTTACAATGAACAAGCACATGATGAGTGTTTTTTTAATTCCTTTCGTCTTTGTTTTCCTTCACTCAGCTATCTTCGAAAAACAACTGATAGCTGGCAATGCTGCACATGTTTCCGCAAGGGTTGCAGCATGTGGATTTTTCGTTTTTCGTAGCTGAGCTACGAATTACGAATTACGAAAATTCGAGTTCTAGAATAAGGGGGTTACTTTTTTTTCTATTAGAATTGAATTCGGTTGTGTTTTTGGCTTAAAAATTACTTGTTCTTTTGTTTATTTAACGTTTATTATTATTTATGAAAGTAAAGCTCTTTTCCCAACAAGAAACATATAAATCCAAATTTCCGACTTTTCGCAAAAACTATGAAAATTAATTCTGCAAAGTTTCATCAAAATCAGAATCTTTAGAAAAAAATTG